TCTCTCTCTCTCTCTCTCTCTCTCTCTCTCTTGGGTGAGAGAGAGATACGGGGGGGGGGAGAATGACTTACTGCCGCATTCGAAGGAGACACTGCCTGGTTTGAAGGCGTCGGAGCGGCCGCCGTAGTCGCCGTAGACGAGACCCATTAGCTCCGAGGCCGCGTTGCGGTGGTAGTATGGTGGGCGGTAGGTGTCTATTGTCAGCCGGATAGTTAGTATCGGGCTCCATGTTATGTTAAGACAGATGGGGGGAGAGGGGGGGGGATGCGTACTGGATGCGACGTCATCGCGGGGAGAAGATAAGGAAGTCGGCGAGAGGGGCAGTCGGGTCGCGGGATCTTGCGGTCAGGACGCAGAAGATGGAGGGGTCGATGTGATCGACGGAGATAGAGCCGACGTTGACGAATTTCGTCATGTCGTATTTGTAGGGGACCTTGTGGCGATGGTTAGGGGGTTACAGTTGGATAGGAAAAGTAAACGCGACGGGACGTACATAGTTACCGTGCCAGGCCACAACGTCAAATGGGCTATGGTTCTGCGTGCTGGCGAAGAACTTGCCCCCGAGCTTGTATACGATCTCCCATGCCTCCTGGCGGATTTCATACTTGGCCACCGGGGTGAGGAAGTCCCGCGTGTTGGCGAGGCCGTTGGCGCCCAGTGGGCCCAGTTCGGGGAGTTCATAGCAAGAGCCCCAGATTTCGAGGATGTAACCGCGAGAAGGCCCATCGGGAACCTCGACGCGGAAGCGGATGCCGCGTGGGATCACGACAATCTCACCCGGTTGGACGAAAAGGGGACCGAATTCGGTCTGGATGTCCAAAGCGCCCTGTTGGGGCACGATGAGCATCTCCCCGTCGGAATTCACAAAGGCTTTCTGGGTCATGCTGGTGTTGGCGGTGTAGACGTGTGTGGCGAGGCCCTCGCGCAGAGTCGGGTCGCCAGATCCAGCGACGGTCTTCAGACCGGTGACGAAGTCTACCGGCTCGTGCGAGGGGATATCGAATGGATGCCATGCCAGCTGGGTGGGGGAGACGTGGACCCGCGGGTTCAAGGGCAAGAAAGTGGCCTCAGTGTCGGGGTTGTCTGGGAGGTTGGTCTGGGTTGGGGCCGCGGGTTAGCACGAGACGATGCCAGATAGCCCGTCGGAGGGAGGGAGTCGAATGCACATACAAATCCTTGGTGGGCCACCGCCGGACGAGCACGGTAGAGCCAGGCCTTCTTGTTCGCATGTCTCGGGGCCACAAACGCCGTGGCGGTTACCTGCTCCGCGTACAAGCCAAAGCGTACATGACGAGGACTGTTCTGTCCGTGGGGAATCGTTCCGGGCACCGCCTCGGAGATAAATCTGCTCGATGTAACGCACCGACATTAGCCGATTGAACCCCTCCTGGGAAGGACCGGATTGCGTACGCGTTCCCAAATCCAGCTTGATACTACTGAGGGTTAGATTTGCCGGACAGCAGAGGGAGAACGAACGTCGCATACCTCATAAGGGTCATTCCGGCGCGTGGAGAAGGAGGGAATTTCACCGTCCTTCTGTGTCTCCGCCCAGTGGAAGATCTTCTGATATTCCTGGGGGTCGGAGAGATGGCCTACGGAGCCCATGTTGAATGTCGATTAATGCGGGCGGAGGTTGAAGGCAAAGAGAGTGATTCTCGAGAGAACGGTAGTTGCGGTGTTGCTGTCCAGGACGATAGCAGTCCACCGGGGGGACGACAGGCTCTCATATACTGACCATGGTGGGGTCGCATGACGCCTCCTGCAGAAAGACACGAGAAGGACCCCATTGCAGGCCAAGTGTATGGTGCGGTGTACACTCGATCAGCGTTGTTCCTCTACAATTTTCGGCAAATCAGCCAGACCTTCTGTTGCCGAGCCTCTCTCCGGAGAACTGGATGGCAAGTGGAGACACCAAACTGATCGCCTCCACAGTCGATCCAACCTCCACACATTTGATGTGAGGTCTTGGGTGACCCCACATGACTCAGGTCTGAGTAACGGTGGGGAGTCTTGTCTAAATTCCACTGAACGGGATTGAAGGTATGCCTCACTGCCGAGACATCGAACTCAGGGGAAGGGAGCACAGATCCAGGGAAACACGGCAGGGAAACAAGTCAGAAGGGTAAAATTGCGGCATCCGGCCAACCAGTACGAGTTACTTGAGTTACGCATGGAACACAGGGTATGCAGCGATGACGAAATTATCACGAACTAACGGCAAGCTTGCGTCGGACGGTGGATTCAGAACACCCCGAATTAGGGCCCTGCTCCATCACATGTTACACCGAACAACCCCAGTAGCAATTATCATATGGGCAGCATGAAACAATTAATGATCAGGGCAAAACAAATATATATATCACTGAAGAACATCGACAGCCCTGTTGAGCTGATTTACGATCTTGTCGCGATATGCCTAAACAACAACAGTGAGTATGGGGTCAACTTCAGATCCAAGAAAAACACTTACTGCAGCTAAGGTCCAATTCCCAGCAGCAATAGCATTCATTAGGCCAGGGAAAGGCTTTGTCTGAAAGTAATACGGGCCAGGCTGAATGATAAGATGGTGGCCTCGATCACCCACAGGAAGATCTGGATCACCCAGGAGACGCTCAAAATTGGTATATATGTGATTGACGGACTGGACCTGAGCAAGAAGGGTACCGTTCAAAGCGGGTTGTTGTTGCACTTGGTCGGTAAGCGAGTCGCTATATGCGTCAAACGCCGCCGAAGCCTGCGCGAAATCATCGATCACCGCCTTAAGCGACGTCAGCTCGAGGTGTGACGACAGGTTTGCTATGGCGCTGAGTGATTCGAGGCCGTACTGGAAGACGGACGCATACGCCTGGACGCGGTAGGGCAGAATCGCCTCATCTGCAAGAGATGTTGCCAGCTGTAGCCAGATCTTGGTGGTCGCCAAATGGTACTCAAAGCCGGGATCTCCGTATTGTTCCATCCAGGCATACGAGTCGAATAGTGAATGGTACGGGAAAACAGGATCGGTTGGCCCACGCGAGAAGCCAAAGTCCGCAACTGAATATCCATATGACTGAAAGGCTATTGCGTCGCCGCCGGTACCCAGACCAAGCTCATCCCCCCAAGCCTCGAGGATGGTTTGTACCGTGCCGCCTTCCTCTCGAGGGGCTTCCACTTGGCCGGTAGCATCGTGCATCGCTCGTGCCAACAGTGGGCTCCCTTGAGCATGAAACTTGGTGCCTGCGCCTGCAACGACCACATTTAAATATGCCGCAAGACTACTGTTCATCTGGGACTCATTTTCTGTGAGCCATGGGCGCGACCCCACCTGGCCGATCTCTTCGCCCTCCCAGCTGGCGAGGATGATGGTTCGTAACGGCTGCCAACCTTCTTTCAGGGCCGTTGCGAGACTTCGTGCCACTTCATTCAGTGCCGCAGATCCACTGTTTCCATCTCCCGCACCCGGACCCCAGGCGTCACGGTGATTTCCAAGAACAATCACCTCCTCTGGAAAGGCGCAGCCGGGGATGGTCCCGATAACGTCATGGATAGGGCCGACCCAGCGACGCGGGTTATTATACACGTTCACGACCACGTTCTCCGGCGAAGGCCCGACATTGTACGTAACGTCGTGCGAAGTGAGCGCGCCTCCTTGCCACCTGTCATTGAAATCTGCTGCTAGGGGGCCATGGCCATTGAGGGCGCGCAGCATCGGAATCGCATCGGCGTACGAAATGGGCATGGCGGGAATCCGATCAGACGCTGCACAGAAGTGGTTAGAGAAATCAGATATTCTAACGCAAACTCACAAGGATCTTGAGAATACCTACAGCATGCCCCCAGTGATCCTCGCTCAATCAAAGATGGGGGCCGGGCTGGCCCATCCGGGAATGGTTGATATCCATTCTCTACAATAATCTCGCCATCCATTTGAGGATCAGGGTAGATCAGCATCCCCGCGAGACCCCTCTCTACGGCGACTGCTTCCTGGTTCGCGCGGTGATACGGCAGATTGTATTTTTTCAAGACAGCGGATTCATACGTAGACTTGACCAACGCGATCTTTCCCGTGATGTTGATGTTTGCACTCACCAGATCATCGTAATCCTCTTGCGTTCCATAGTTGGCGAATATATACTGGGCGGTGATATTGCCCTCCCCGGCACACGCGAAGAAAGCCGGAATAAAAGGTGGCTGTCCATCGCCAGCTGTGGGGGCGTTGTCCTCAATCAATGGCGCTTCATAGACCACTGGATCTCCCTCGCGTGCCGTGTCCAGCAGCGCGACTCGATGTTCATTGTTCAGCGTCAGGTTGGTGCTATAGGATTTCACACGTGTGTTGGGGAGGCCAATGGCATCCCACAACTCCTGGGTCCACAGCGCCTGTTGGAGGCCCTGTCCTGCTACATGGGACCCGTTGGTGTAGTAGCGAACCGATTCGCGGATTCTCTCAGCATCAGGGACCGTCTGGACAAGATTGCGCGCCGCTATCGACGAAAGATTTTGTCTGCTCTTGCACTCCTGGAAGCCACTGGTGTCTAGCCGACTGCCATAGACACCAGAAACAGCCAGGAATATGGTAGCCAAGCCCGCCCAAGGCATTGCTTACTCGGTTGAGAAATAGGATTAAAGAGAACAGAGGGGGGGGGGGGGGGGGAGGAGGCTACGACATGAAAGATGCTGCTGCAAAAAGAGAGAAATCTAGGTCTTATAATAATCATATATAAACTATGTTCACGCTGAATCCCTTGATGCCTCGCTAACAGTTTTACAATCCCGAAGATCCCATATCACGGTCTCCGACACAACGCAGCAAGGGGGAAACTTAATAATTACTCTACATGCATGCCCGGGCTGGCTGATGGTGGAAGATCGCGAAGATCTTATCCATATTTTTCCTTGTGCATGAGGCTACTGACTTGTGCAGGCTGCATTTCTCAGCCGCAAGGGGTCACGCCCGAGCACGTAATTCCAATGATAAAAAGGAGACGATGGTGGGATTCGCGCTCTATGAAGCTGCTTGAGACACACGGAGGACATTTCACAGCAGCGGTCTCCTTCTGTTTTTAGAAATGGCGCCTCCGTCCAATTCTCAATGGGACGACGCCGAGAGAACGAATGAAGAAACCCCTTTTCTCAAAGATTCCAAAGATCACCAATCTCACATCCTCCCGCGGAAACAACTCCTTGTCATCATTCCTGCCCTGGCTCTGATCCACTTCACCTCGTTTCTGGATCAAACAGCCCTATCCACCTCACTGCCTGCCATCGCAGCCGGACTAAACACCGGCTCGTCCATCTCATGGGTCAGTGCCAGTTTCCTCACGACGAGCACCAGCATCCAGCTGATCAACGGCCGGCTGTCCGACATCTTCGGTCGCAAGACATGTCTCCTAGGCGCGTTGACAATCATGACGCTGGGCAACCTGCTGGGCGGATGGTCCCAGACCCCTGCGCAATTGTATGCAACTCGAGCGTTGAGCGGCCTGGGTGCCGGAGCGCTCAATGCGTTAGTGCAAATTGCCATTTCTGATATCACCACCCTGGAGCAACGCGGATACTATTTTGGAATCCTGGGAGTTGCAGTGGCTCTGGGGAATGGTCTTGGTCCGGTCGTGGGCGGCGTGCTCACAGAAAAGACCTCCTGGCGCTGGGCATTTTGGTTCGTGTGTCCGCTGGCCATGGCGGCCGCCACGTACTTTGGTCTTGTGTTCCCATCGTCTGGCATGTCCGACAATGTCCGGACGAAGCTGCGCAGAGTGGATTGGTTCGGGGTTTTCACGAGCATGATGGCTATTGTGCTGATCCTGGTCAGTGCGACAGCGCTGCGCTACTACATGGAAATTAACACATCTTTTAGATCCCTGTCTCTCAGGGAGGCACCGCAATTCCATGGAATTCTCCTATCATCATCGCTATGTTAACGCTCGGAGCGGCGCTCTTCGGGCTCTTTCTGATCGGAGAGTGGCGATGGGTCGAACTGCCGCTATTGCCCAGTATGCCGTCCATCCACGTAGATTTCATCTCGCATGCTGACGGTCCAAGTGCGCTTATTGAAGTATAACTACTCCACGAACCTCCTTCTGTTCGTGAACATCGTGATCGGCTGGGTCTTCTGGGGCAATCTCTTCTATATCCCGCTGTACTTCCAGAACGTCCGCGGATGGAGCCCGGGAACATCTGGCTCCTTGATCCTGCCGATGGTGGTGGCGCACGGCATCACCTCGGGACTGAGCGGGCTCATCATCTCGTGGACAGGCCGGTATAAGGTCGTCATCAGCACCGGCGTCGGCATGTGGATGATGGCAGCAGCGGCCAAGTCATTCTATACACAGCAGACCCCACTGTGGATTCTGGAACTCGGAGGGATCTTCGAAGGCATCGGGGTGGGATGCTCCTTTCAGCCCGGTATGCCCATCTTATCCCCCACAGCAGAAGCAGACTAACCCAAGCCTGCAGTCATGGTCGGCCTCCTGGCGGGGTCCGATAAAAGCGACCGTGCGGTAGTGACAGGGTTCCGCAACTTCATCCGCGACATGGGCGGATCCGTCGGCGTAACAGGTTCTGGTTCAATTTTTTTCCCAACTACCCTGTTTCATAGCTAACAAAAGGACCAGTGTCCGGGGCGATCCTCAACAACGTCCTCCACAATGACCTCAGAGGACGATTCAGCGACGCAGTCATATCCAAGATCACGTCTTCCGCCTTCGCCTCGCACGATCTCAACCTCACCGATGAGGACCGGGAGCTGATCTCTAATGCATATATGCACGGCTTACGCGCTGTCTTTACCGTGTTTGCGGTCTTGATCTTGCTGTTTTTTGCGCTGATATTGTGCATAAAGGATTATGGACTAGCTGGCAGGACGTGTGTTGAGAGCGAGGAACACGCTGAAGGGCAGAGATACACTGATTACACTGACTAGAGGCTTGACTTATGAGGTATTGATGCGATGCAGCCTGTTTACGAGTCCTGATGGTTTATTGCTTTGCTTGGGTATGTTTTGGCGTGCTTTTATATCTTGATGTACGTTGGATGACTTGTTCCTTCGGTGAGACCCCAGACTTTGTGTCAACGGGAAGAAGATCATGATAAGGACGACATCATATCAGATTCATTGTTTCACGTAGATTTATATAGATATCATCATGGGCAATAACTTTGGAATAGTCTTCGGAGCTCGTCCGTATAGGGTTGGACGGTTAGATAGTGACCACAATGAGCAAGAGTTGCGCCTAGTCTAAATATAATCATCAGTAAAATAAGAAACCCTAACCTCTTGAACGAAAGCAGAGATTGTGAGGCTTAAACAGGGCCAGCAGTAGGAATCTATTACACTCCTCTGGTAACGGCAATATACTATCTAGATGCGATTCCAGGGTATTCCGAATCTACGATCTAGAGTTATCCGGCCTTTTGGCCTAGTTGGGAGCGTGTTTTGCCTGAATCGCACGCCCTCACATCCCTCCAGAAGGCGATCCTCATACTTTAGATTATAAACAAGCGACAGTGAATAAACCCCACGATAAACATACTTCACGTCAGTCATTCAGTTCATAAACCTCCACGCGATGCAACGATCTAGGTCTGCTAAAAGAGTAACCAGTAGTCGGAACCAAAAAGAATTAACCTATAGGGGTAGAACAAAAGTGATGCAAGAATGATTAATCACAAAAGCCCCCCAGAACATAAATCCACCACTCTAGTCTAGACCAAACGGCCTGGCATCCCATCTCACGCGCTTCAAATGTCTCCGGGGGTCCTTCACCTGATTGCGACCATGCAACCACCGCCTGTTATCCATGATGACGATGGAGCCGCGCGGCATCATCTCGGCTGTGAGATGCACGACCTCAGACTGCGCCTGCGGGCCCAGCAAGACAGACTTGAGCTCTTCCAGCGCCAGTCCCGCCTCGCCCGTCAAGGGAGTGAAGATATCCTCTCTGAAGCGGAGCGCCAGGCTCCCGGATGCCGGGTCCGGAGCGAGTAGACTACCGACAATGGACTCGTCCTTGTTGTCTGTTTTCCGGAACTCCGGCGGCACGGTAATCAGGTAGTCTTTCTTTTGGAGCGCAGCTCGTGTCGACTCCGAGAGGAGTCTGAGGAGATTGTCGACTTTCAGCACGGAGAGCGTGCCGCCGCCGCATTGGTCCGGATGGAGGACTTGCAGCGCGAAGAACCGCGGCGGGGAGGCCTCGTAGCTGCAGTCGGTATGCCAGGGGAACTCATTCATGGTTTCTGACCGCGCCTGGTGGTCCGGACATTGGAAGACCGTTTGGCTGGGCCGGATATCCCAGTACCAGCCGCGGTGGGCGGAGTGGGTGATGGGGAGTCCGTGGCCGTGCCATTTGTGCAGTCCTTGAATGAGACTTGTCAGGTAGTGGGAGTCGTTATCGTCAAAGTTGAGGCTGATTTTCAGAACGCCAGCGTCCTGTAGGTGGCGCTGCACGCTGCCCACGTGCCGTTGCTCTTGGGCTGAATCAAGCCTCGGGGCTTGAAGATATGGGATATTGGCTAAGCTTTCCGTTAGCTAAATTCAACTTAATCAAGGATAAGCTATACTAAAAAAAAAAAAACAAAAAAAAAAAAAAACAAGCTTACTTACCTAGCGGCGAAAGTGCAGGCGCCGACCGTATCGTCGTCCCCAGTGCACCATGGTACGCTCTGGTTAGGGTACGCAACATCTTGAACGATGGTATGTTGTGTACTATATCTCCGAATGATTCTGGATGGGTTTCATGTCTAGCTCGTGAGAACAAGCTATATAAGTTGTTTCAATCAGCCGAACGCCTCTCTCGCGCAATGCTGTTCCACCTTACCCCTTGCTTCAAGCTGCCGATTGCTCCATCGCTTACAGCGGAGGCCTACGTATCCCTCGCCCCATCGACAGCGTAGGAATGGCTTGGCATGATGATGGGTATCAGAAAAAAACCCCAGAATATCTGTAGAATGTCTTGTCAGCGACGCATGTGACCGCTTTGGTTCACTGGGAGCTGAAAAGGGGTGTGAGACGAAGCAAGGGAGGCCGATTATAATTTGATAATAGAGCAAAGTTGGCTACCGAATGCGCAGATCGAAGGTTCTTGAATATGACTTCAGATTGGGTATGTACATGAGATCATTTCCCGGCGAACCACTATCTGATATGTATCTCCAGAATGTTCCAAAATGGGATGTGCACTTGGCAGCCCAAGGTGCGCTGCCATGTAGAAGGCCCCGTCAGAACTGGTTCTCAGGTCGGATCAACCGCTGACCGACCTCCCCATATGCACCCTCCACCTCGGTGATCGTCGTACCCTGCACCCAGAAACCCTTGGCGTTGGCCCAGCTTGTCGGTGACGCCACTGCCGCTGCGATCGCCCATGCAACATCCTCCGGCGAACTCTTGAGCGTGTGGGGCTGCGTGGTCGCCTCCAGCCCTTCCACCATGGAGGTCAGCGTGAGCCACGGCGCGATCCAGGAAATGGCGATGTTCGCTCGCGTCACCTCTTCGATTAGGGCGGTGCTGCGCACAAGGCCCAAGACCGCATGCTTGCTGGCGGTATAGAGCGGCTGCGAAGGCACAGGGAGGTAGGAGCCCGCGGAGCCAACGACGACGATGCGGCCGCCTGCTTCTCCCTGCTTCATGTGGTGGATGGCTAACTTGAGACCAAACACGACCGAGTTGATGTTGACATCGAAGAGCTGCGTTGACGGGCGCCGAAGCTGTCCTTCCTTCGTTTCATCCGCCAGATAATTGTAGCGCGCTTGACGATTCAGCTGGGCTTGTCGCTCGGCATCTTGGGTCTGGAGCAGTGAGATTTCGGGGTTGATGGCTGCGTTGCACACCACGAGCTCAATGGGCCCAACGGTGTCGATGACCCACTGGAACAAGGCGATCTGTTGATCCCAGTCGCTCACGTCACAGGTCTTGTATGTAGCTTGCCGGCCGATGGCCTCCACCGCACTTTTTAGTGCATCCTCGTGTAAATCCACTAGCACTACGCGGGCACCGTGGCGGGCCAGGAGGCTGGCCGTGGCAAACCCGATGCCACGTGCGGCGCCGGTGACAATAGCTACTCGGTTGGAGACATTCTCCGTGAGAGCGTCAGGGTTTGGTCGAGGGATGGTCGTCATGGTGGTTGAGAGGTAGTGCGATTCGTGTAGGGCACCAAGAGTTAGGGGCCATGTCGAGTACTTATGCCAATGCTATGAACGATGGCCCACTTGGCTCTGCGTATTGAATACGCTGGGGAGCCTCGGCTAAGCTTTCGAGAAAAAGTATAGCCGTTTTCATTTGTAAAAGAATATCCAGATGTCGACGCAGTATATGATGGCAAGAATCCACTAGCCCACACTACGAAACTATAATCCATGTCTCCACACGTACCAACCAGCTCTGTCACCTCGTTCGTTCCTCATAATTCCTTAATCGCGCTATAGCGATTCTCCATGGCTCTCCTCGTAAAGCTACCCATGGGCGCCAACCCCTCAAAGCCATGCGGCAGCCCGGGATACATATGAAACTCAACAGGGATCCCCGCCTTCACAAACCGAAGCGCATACTCCGTATCTTCCTGCGCGAAAATATCCAGCTGTCCACAATCCATATACACAGGTGGCAAGCCGTCGACGGATTCCGCCCTCGCCGGCGCCGCATACTGCTCGACACGCTCTGTGCCGACATCCTTCCCCAGATAAGCCGTCCAGCCCGTGACGTTGTCCTGGGGCGTCCAAAAGGCCAGATCCCCCGCATGGTCCTCGACCGGCCGGTCATCAAGCATAGGGTACACGAGGATCTGCTTGGCGAGGGGCGGAGAGAGCCCCCGGTCGCGCGCCATCAAGGCAAGACCCGCCGCCAGCCCTGCGCCAGCACTCTCGCCCATAACCGCGATGCGATGAGCATCGATCGACAGCTCCTCCGCATGGGCGTATACCCACTGCAGACCAGCCCAGCTATCTTCGATCGGAATCGGATACGGGTGTTCCGGGGCTAGCCGGTAGTCGATGCTCAGGATTTGCACGCCAGACCCGGCGACATACCCAACCAGCATGCCTTCCAGTTCCTTGACTGATAGTGAAATGAACCCGCCTCCGTGCGTGTGTACCACGGCGGGGGCTTTCACGTCCCTGTCCGGCCCGCGCTTTTTGCGGTAGTGGTGGATGGGGACTTGGAAATCACCCGATGGTGTCGGGGCGTAATAAACAAGGTGCTCCATATCATCCGGTATGACTGTCTTCGGGGAGTTCTTTGTGATAGCTGCCATCATGTTTCTTCTGGCAGCAACATCGTGGACGGCTGGTTTGGCCTGCTGCCCAAGCTGCTGCAGGATCGGGCCTGCGACTTCGGCAAATTCGGGGTCCAGTTGGAGAGGCATTTCTGTTTCTCTGGGTGGGTTGAACACGCGGTGTTGTAATGTAACGCAAAAGAGAGATTTAGTGAGATAGTCGTGCAAGCATTAGGGATCTACAGGGGGTTATTAGTACTGCAACGTTTTGTATAGGCAGTCACCGATGCAGGGCTTCATTGGTGCGCATGCGCGCCCATTGTTTCTTCACGGAAAGACAGGTCATCCGAACCGAGTGTCCCTTTTCCATAGGCGTGTCGCATTCCTTCTGTCCGGAGGGCGACGATATGTCGGTATACTACGCCCAACTCCCGTGCTCCGGGCCAGATCCACAGTGGAGCTTCATCAGTCAAATGTGGGGACGCGATCGGCAGTGTCCTTTTAGGAAGTTGACAGCGAGGTGGATAATCCACGTTGGGGGGGATGCATAGACTCTGAATCTGCGTTGGAGATATAGTGGCTACGGAGTAAGTATAGAACAAGGAGGGGCATGAAGTCAAATGACCCATGGCAGCCCTCAGAGGGAAGATCCAGCCTCAATGAACACCACTGCTTGTTTGACATCGTATTCCACATTGCCAACCAATAATAACAATGGCCTCCACTCCCTCTTTTGATGAACTTCCCTCTGTGCCAGGGCATCCTCCGAGTAGGTGCTCCTGGGGCATTTTCGACAAAGATGGTCAGAAGGACCTCTACGGGACGTTGAACTTCATCACCCCAGACGTCGTGAAATCCGCTGCCACTGAGATCTGTCAGGGTGTCTCTGTCTCCCTCAAGTGCGTTCCAATGCGCTATTTTGCGATGGATTTATGCTAGGGCATAGACACTGACTATAAATGTTATAACTGTTTAGCTGGTCGCTGGGAGGTATCAAGAGCAAGGGGCACTTTCGCAAACATCTTTCCCATCGCGTGGTCAAACTGGACGATCCCGCCACTGGGCAAGGCTTTGGCTTTGATGATGAGGTCGGGAGATCTGGCTGTCTACTCTGTTATTAATGGAGATAGCTGATAGACTGCAGGTGGACTTTAACACCCAGGGAAGCAGCCAGTGGGACAGTCTCTGTACGTTACCTCTCAAGTCCCTGAATATACAACGCTAAAGAAAAACAAGGCCACTTCCAGCATCTCCCCTCTGGTCTATCCTACAATGGGTTCAAACCGACGGTCGAAACCCTCGAAGCAAACAACGACCTCCCAACCCTAGATCGTAAGCGGCAACCTCATGCCCAATCACCAACCCACTATCTAAACCAACACAGACTGGCACGCCCGCGGTGGTCTCACGGGCCGAGGCGTCCTGATTGACTTCACATCCTACGCCGCAGCCAAAGGAATCCAATACTCCCCCTTCTCAGGTTTCCGCATTAGCGCCGCAGATATTGAAGCAGTTGCAGCCCACCAAGGCACCACCTTCCAACAGGGCGATATCCTCATCATCCGATTCGGAGTAACAGAGGCACTGGGCCAAATGAACGGGGACGAACAATCAGCCGCCATGGCTCCATTGCGATGCTCTGGAATCGAGGGAACCGAAGATATGGCACGTTGGCTGTGGAACAGGCAGTTCGCTGCCGTTGCGAGTGATAACATAGCTGTGGAGGCTATGCCGCCGATTGTGAATGGGATAGAGCGACCGCCGACCGAGCTTGGTGCGTGTGATCTGATCTATGGCTTCTGTGTTTAGTGGCTAATTGGGACAGTGTTGCACCAATGGTGTCTTGGATTGCTTGGCATGCCTCTCGGGGAGCTGTGGGACCTCAAGGCCCTGGCGGAGGAATGTAAGAAGGCCGGGAGGTATAGCTTTTTCTTAACCTCGGCGCCGTTGAACGTACCCGGTGCTGTTGGAAGTCCGCCGAATGCGCTGGCTATTTTGTAACTTTGGGGTGATGGATACTGCCGGGCTGTTCTCTCTACCCCTGATCATTCCATCAGCAGAGAACAGCTCTACGGTTCACCGCAGTAAACTATCCTAAGAGTGGTTGATGTATGTGTGGTGGTTCTGCTTGCGCTGATGCCAGTGATGCCGGTGCTGAGTGAGGCCCGCGGTAGTAGATACAGACAATTGTTAGCATCACTCTGTATATATGATTGAGAGATTAGGAAAGGATCTGTCATCCCTTGCCTCCGTACATCAACCGAAGTCCAGGTTAATTAAATCCAGTTATTTGTCTTCTCTTGAATAATCTAGATGGTTAGTGGTTCCGGGAATTGGTCCTTACGAGTGTATGCCAAATATCATGCAAAGCCTGCAATAGGCGGGATTGCCCTGGGAATACTGTTTATGTATCGAGTACAATTAATGAGAGAGGCTAAGGCCTGGTTGGTATATTACAAAGTTGTTTGAAGAGTACCTGCAGTGTACATACGATTGCCAACACAAAACAATAACCTACAAAGACTGAGTCGAAAAGCCCTCCCAGCTCTCAAGGGCATCATTGCACTTCTGCCGCCACCTCGACATGCCGCCCAGATAAATCAACGGCTCCCGTCGCTTCCCCGGGATATTAGCGCCCATATACCACGAGTTCGTCTTGGGATAGAGCGTATTCTCGGACACCATCCGAACCTCCTCCTTCCACCCCTCCGCAGCCTTGGCCGTGGGCACGACAGACGCCAACCCCTCGTCACGCATCTTCGCAATCACCCGACAGATCCAGTCGACCTCCATCTCAATGAAAGGCGGTCCGTTGGCCAACGACGTCGGCGCCTGCGGTCCATAAACCAGGAACAGATTCGGCGCGTCGGGAATCATCAAGCCCAGATGAGTAGTCGTCCCTTCCTTCCATTTCTCACTCAAAGAGACCTGGTTCCGATCTTCGATCCCCAGATCCAGCAAACTACCTGTGACGGCATCGTATCCCGTCGCAAAGATGACGACGTCTAGATCACGATGGCCGTCGGCCGTGACGACACCGGTCTCATCGAACTCCAGGATCGGGGCCTTCTTCAAGTCATGCAGCACGACATTCTCCCGATCGATCATCTCGTAGTAATCCTGCTCCAGACTAGGCCGCTTAGTACCGACCAAGTAAGTCTGCTTCAACGGTGCAACCAGATCCTTCTTCTTCTGGTCCGTCATACGAGCTCGAACGTGCTGTACCCAGTAATCATAAAAGATCGAGTTGGCCTCCTCATTCAGAAGGAAGTCATAGTAGTTCGAAACCAAGAAACTATACCCACCCCGCTGCCAAAGCTGATCGAAAAGAGCCTTCCGCTCCTCGGGCGAGGCCGTGCTCGCTGCCTGAGGCTTGGTATTATGTGGAAAACCCGTGACGGATTTATAGCAGCGGTCGAAGATGGCGTCGTAGTATCCTTTCATCATTTCGGACTCTTCAGGGGAGATGTTCCGCTGTTTCATGGGGAGTGCGAAACAGGGCGTGCGGATAAACACGGTCAATTCGCAGTCTTCCTTTGCCAGTTCCTGGACGATTTGGAGACCTGAGGCTCCGTTGCCGACAATGCCGACCTTCTTTCCCGTGACGTCGAGTTTGTCCGGGTATGCAGCTGAGTGGACTAACTGGCCCTGGTACTGGTTCAGACCGGGATAGTCGGGGAAGTATTTCTTGTAGGATGATCCCGTCGCGGCGATGAGGTACTTGCACGTTGCCCTGATGCCGGTCGATGTTTGGACGATCCATAGTCCACTCGCCGAGTCGAATTGACACTCTGATACAATCGTGTTGAAATAAGTATCTTTGCTCAGCTCCAGCACACGATCAACGTGTTCAAAGTATCGTCTCAGCTCCTCGACGCCGGGGAACCGTTCACTCCAGTGCCAGTCCTTCCATACGGCGGGGATATTGAACTGGTAGGCGGGCATTTCGCTATCCACACGAGCCCCAGGGTAGCCATTCCAGTGCCAGACACCGCCGAAGCCGCTCCCTGCTTCGAAGAGTTTGGTCGTGAGGCCCATCTCGCGGAGGCGGTAGAGGGCATTGCAGCCGCCGAAGCCGCCGCCGATGACGACCGCATCAAGTTTGAGGTCCGTTCGGGTCATTCTGAGAGTAAATCGAGGGTTGATGTCACTTGTAAGAGACGTGATGGGGTGAATTGACTTGCAGAGATCCGGTAGCTGATGGCCACGGTGCTCCTTTTATCCTGCCGAATGGAGCTGATCTGGGATATACCAGACATTCGCAATTGTCTCTATACGATTCACGGGCCGGTAGACGGGACCATCACATCCGGATGCTGCAAAAGGCCTCAAGATGGTTGCCGTCCGAAATAGGAAGTCGACGGCGAGACCGCCAGTGGAATCTTTTAGTAAGGATCGACATGGCCACAAAATGGATCCACCTTGGCATTCGGCTGAAGAATAGGAATCCGTACAGTACGTACCTTCCAGAGAGAGCCATGAAGACATGATGCTTCCGACGGTTCCGCTAACCGTGAATGCAGTGTACTACAGGAATGGATGTACAGTACATCCAGGCTCGACTAAGCCCGGTTCAACCCTCACACATGGTTTGGCCTCGGAATTTTGTGTCTCCGAGGCTATGGCAATTAAAGCTGGTGGCTGTAGTTTTAGGTAACACTGGCGTGACCCCGCAGTGGGCTCTATAAGAGTCGCCCATTAAGTCCCCGAGGTCGTTATAAGACTTATAACCGTAGATCATCCAGGGAAAATCAAGGTACTCACCGATAGATACTAGACACCATGGCCTGCAAAGTTACGGGAACCGCTTTCATCACCGGCGCTGCCTCGGGTATGTACATACAATCATTGCTATCGAGCTAATGCTTAGGGTTGAACGGGCGAAGACTGAAATCGATACAGGAATTGGCAAAGCAACGGCACTCAAATTTGCGGAACAAGGTATCACGTCCTTGGCCCTGCTGGATGTCAACCTGGCTCAGCTGGAGGCCACCCGCGATGAGCTCCGCAGCACCTTCCCCCATGTCGAAACCGAGATCCTGCAGGTCGATGTCACCAAGGAAGCGTCGGTAGACGAAGCGATCCGGAAGACTGTGTCTCGGTTCGGTCGCATTGACATTGCTGTGAACTCCGCCGGGATCAGTGGGATG